CAGCTCAGCCTTGAATTCTAGCTAGCAAGGTATAAGAAAGAGCTGAGTGTCACCACCCGGCAGACCTCATGGTGCTGAGAGTTGTAGACGGGCCCTTGATGGTCTGGAACTTGGAGGATATGCACTGTAGGAGTCTAGCCTCTCAAGTGACCAAAGTTTGGGTGGGTGTTTGGTTTTTTGGGACAGGGTCTCCCTGTAGCCCCAGCTGGCCTGGAACTCACTATGTAGACCAGGCTGGCCTTGAACTCACAGAGATCCTCCTGCCTCTGCGTCCACTAGTCCAGGTTGAGTTCCAGTCTATTCAGGCTCTTGTTAATTTCATCTGAGTTTTCAAGTTTGTTGGCCTGAGTTGTTGGTGCCACTTCCCTTCTGTCATGTTGCTGTTCTGGTCTGTAGTAACCCTGTTGCTCATTCTCAGCACCATAATTCTTTTTTTGTTATCATTTATCAATTTGGCTAAAGCTTTGCCATCTGGTCTTAGAAAATTAACTTTTAGTTTGATTCATTTCCCTTTGCTTCCCCTTCCATGTCCCTAGAAGGGCTGTACTATACAGCCCAGGTGACTTGTTTTCCTCCAAGTCCTCAAGTGCTAGAGCTACAGGTGTGCCCCGCAGTGACCTCACTTTTCATTTTTGCATTGAATTGATTTCTACTTACTGTCTTCTTGTTGTTTATTTGGGTTTTGCTTGCTTGTTACAGATTTCTTCAGTGAACCCACTGTTGTTGAATTAAGACAGTGCTGTGAATTTCCTCCAGGCGTAGTTCATATTGTTTCCATTTCATTCACTGCACAATGCCTTCCAATGTCTGCTTTACTTTTTTCTTCACTCAGGGAGTGCGAGCGTGCGTGCGTGCGTGTGTGTGTGTGTGTGTGTGTGTGTGTGTGCGCGTGTGTGTGTGTGTTTTAATTGCTTTTGCTTTTTGTCTTTTTGTTTGGAGACAGGGTTTCATGTAGCTCAGGCTGGCCTCAGACTCTATGTAGTTGAGGATAACCTTGAACTCCTGATCTTCCTTCCTTTACCTTCCCAGTGCTGGAAATTATAGGCATGTGGTACTACCATCACTGGCTTATTGGAGTGTATTTTTTAGTTTAAAAATATTTTGGGTTTTTAAGATATCTTTCTGTTACTGATTTCTAACTGAAGTTTATTTAAATAATGTATTTTATGTGACTGGACTTGTTCTTTTAACCTTACTGGTACTGGCTTTATGGCCCTAGAGGGATATGTCTTGGTGCCTGCTCTCTGTTAAGGGAAAGTGAAGAAAGTATATTTCTCCGCCTCTGTACAGAGCTGCGCCGCTGCCAGTGCTGTTGGCTGAAGTGCTGTTCTCTTCTAGCTCTCGCTGCTGTTGTGCCTGCTCCTGCAAGCAGGTATTGAGATGCTCAGCTGTAATGGCTGGTGTACCCATTTCCCTTATTCATTTGTTAGTTTTGCTTCCAGTTCGAATCTGAGTTTTGATTTCTCCTTGAACTTAACTGACTCCTCTGCCACTGGGAAAGGGGCCCCGGAATCTGCGCACTGGCCTTGCCCTAGCTAGTATATTTGTCTGACGCTAATGTAGCCTTCGCAGCTTTCTTTTGATTAGTGTGTCAGTTACTTTTATCTTTGCTGTGACCATATTCTTGATGGAGACAAGGGAGGGGAGATTTATTTTGGTTTGTGATTTCAGTGAGTTGTCGATCATAGTGAGATGCATAGTGGACCTGAGCAGCTCAGATCACAGTGGGTCAGGAGGCAGAGAGGTGGGATGCTGGTGCTAGGCTGGCTTTCTCCAGTTTTCCCATTCATTCTAGGGGTCCCTCAGCCTATGGGATGATACTTTCTCCACGCAGGATGGGACTTTACCTGGAAAGGCCTCAGAGAGGGTCCTCACCATCTCCGAAGATTCTCAATGAAGTCTTTGACAGTGGAGATTCCCGGGCACAGTTTGAGTGATGCATCTTTTCCATCTTTGCATTTAATCTGTCTTCACAGTTGAGTACGGCTCACCGAAAAACCGTGTTACGTGATTTTTGTCATTGCTGGCATCATGTGTACGTTGTGGTTTGAGCATTAGCGTGCACTACACAGACCAAGAAGTCTACAGTGTCACAAGGTCATATGTTTTAGTGGGATCATTGCTGTGTTTGTTGTATGCAGGCCATTGTTGACCTGTATCATTATGTGGCTTGTGCTTACACTGAAAGTGCATTCTTGTAGGTAGCACGTTGCTTGGGGAATACTGATGTTACTAAGGTGTGTGACGTCCCGGCTTTAGACCTTTTCATTCCCACCTCATGTGGTTCTTTATACCTGGCACAGTGGTGGAGTCTCGCGTTCTTACCTCATTTGACAACCTTGCCCATGAATAGAGTGTCTGAACAGTTGAATGTGGTCGTAGGTAGGTACGGGTGGGAGTGGGCTCAGCTGTCCCTTGTTCTCACACGTGGAAGCTGCTTTTCATCCTCGTCTATGAAATTATGGTCACTTGTTTGAAATGTTAAAATTCTGCATTTACTGGACTTTTTGTTGGGAATATATAGTGTCTTTTGAACTATGGTGATGTTTTTATTAGTTATTATTCATTTTTGTGGTATACTGGTTACGAACCACATTTTTCTGCTAAGCCTTGGTATTTTTTATGTTCAGTTTTGCCAAGTGTGAGTTCTCCAGAACCATACGCAGTGTGTCACAACACGGACTCCTGGGTTGTTTAGTCTGCAGATGGGAGATGAGGAGGGCCCATCTCCACCAGCAGTGCTGAGAGAGTCTGCAGACTGGAGTGCTCAGCTGGGAGCTGTGGCCCTGAGAAGCTTGGCCTGCGAAGACAAGGTGGGCTGGGGCTCTCCTTTCTGGAAGAACTGTTTTCTGAGGGTGAATAAGGCAGCAATTCCTACCTGGGGCCTGGCAACAAGGTGTCCCTGCAGGTATAGCAGGCAGGTAGCACAGAATGCCCAAGAGTATGTCTCAGAGCTGACTTCAGCCTAAATTGGGAGGACATTTTTCACAAATCTAGCTAAACGTGGCTCAAGAAACAGGAATGGTGGTCAGGAAGAGGGGCAGGATGAATGAACACAGGCAAGGGAAGCAGCAGGAAACAAAGCTTAAAGCTTAAATGGCATCAGAGCTGGAAAGAAGAGCGCTGATCCTGTGGAAAACCACGGCAGCCGTGTGCAGAGTGTACCAGAGAGGCCGCCTGGGAATGCAGACTAAGCAACAGATATGTCAGCGGCCAGAGGGGCAGGAACAGTGGAGAGTCAGCCAACAGTGGAGGAGTCTCTCAAGAATCTAGAATGTGTGGAATAAAATTAATAAGTGAAGATGTAATTGAGCATTTTTCAGATCAGGAAGAAGATGGAGATGTATCACAGGCCATGCTGTGAGCAGACTCAGCAAAGAGACTCTAACTTACACATTTTCGGATAATGTTTTTGAATTTCAAGATTGAAGAAAAGACATGCTAGCAGAACATAGCAGCAGATGATGATGTCAGCAATGTGCAGACCTAGTGTCACCTAGACAGACTCTGGGTGGTCTGGCCTTGGAATTCTCATGGTGCCAAGGGGACAGTGTTATAAGGCAGATGTTTGTGGCCTGAGACTTTTATACCCAACCAAGTCAGTGTGCTGTGTGCAGGATCTGAGTCCCCTGAGATTCACAAAGGTTTGCAGAAGTATGTTGCCTGTATCTCTTTAAGGAAATGGTGGTCCTGACCCAGCGGAATAAGCATTCGCAACCCGAGGATAGAAGTCAGTGTTAGTGGCTACAGATCAGAAGTCATAACGATATGATTCAGAGTTGTAGGTAACAGTATATATGAAGTTGGAAACCACCTTGAACAGCCAACCTTTGGGGCGGTCCTTGACATGATGAGCTGATTAGAGTTCTTTGGTTACAGTTGGGGAAAATTTCTCGATTAGCTTAAGAAAATACTTATTACACTTTAAAGGAGAGACAGATACAGATGCCTGCTTGGAGCCAGGATCATTCAGGGAGTCTTGGGTTGGCATTCGTTGGCTTGTCTCTGCAGTGGCTGGACTGTGGAAGATTCTGGTCCCGGGCGGAGGGGGAGAATCTGGTAAGTCCATGGGTTTTCCATCACCAGACTTGGTGACCATGCCCCAAGACTTGTGGGCCTCTCAAACCCTCTTACACTGGATCGGGCACCCCTCCCAAGGGGTTTACCAAGCAGTATTGAGTAACCTAGGAAGTACCAGCTGGAGAGTAGATGTTGTCTGGACAGCACTTCATGTGGACAAGAGGCACAGATGCAGACGGCAGCAAGGGCCCGAGTTGGGCTGTTACAAAGCACTTGTCTTTGGGGGCTACATTCCTGTGATGACCATGTATTACCTATAAACCCTGAGAAAATGTGACTATGAAAGTGGGCACATGGGGAACATTTCGGGCACTGTGAAGTGGGAAAAGTAGAATTTGGACAAAATTTCAAAAACATTGGTGGTAGCCATGTGTGTGCAAAAAAATGTCTGATTGGCACCTGTCAGTGAGAAGGTGAAGGGCAGTATTTCTTGTCATACTTCACAGGGTGTGGAGCTCAGTACATCTGTGTCAGTGCTAGGATAGTGTGCTGCTGCCTTGCTAACGCCTGATGAGGAGGGGGAAGTTTCTGGAAGGTGTAGGAGAGGTGCCTCTATCTAGATCAGGACGTTCAACTGAGGTTGATTTTGGCCCCTCTAAGAGGCTGTCATGATTGGGAGGGGCGCTACCAGGAGGTCAGGGATGCTGCTGGTGTCTTTCTTGTGCACAGCCCCCACAGCCCAGCAGCTAGGCAGCCTTTCCACAATGTCAGCAGCACAGAGGTGGAGGGACCTGCTCTACACACGTGTTTGCTTTTGTGTAATTTGCTGACAAATCCAGTAGTTCATCCTGGTGGAAATGGTTCAGGATGAATTGTTATTTCTACTCTCGGATTAAAAAAAAAAGGTATAAAAAGCAGAATCTGTTTCCTTAGTTAGGTTCCCATCCAACTGAGGGCTCCTTTCTTCTCTGACCCTGCAGGTCCATCTCTGCAAGGCCAGGTGACGACCTCCGCTCTCCCTGTGGATTACTTGGTTTACAAGACGCTGCCAGCAAGACCCCGAGTTTACGTGGCTGGGACCCAAGCCTCTTCAATTCTTTACCTGCATGTGCTGGTGGAAGTTTGGAGCTTGTTGGGGCTACTGTTTACGTGCACATTTTGAGCCATTTTGCATTCACTCAAGGCGCTAACGCTGCTAGCAATGAGCTCCCAAAGCCATCCAGGTAAGGCCTGCGTCCCCGGCCTCTGCTGCTCTTCTTACAGATGTGTTGCCGCTGCCACTGCCACCTGCCGTTTGGTCAGCCTTGCTTTCCTTGTGGCAGACCTGGCTGGATTGCAGAATCAGCAAGTGTGTAGTAACTGGGTTCTTCATCTCTTGGTGCAGGGCCTGATGACCTCCTGGTGATTTGGAGAAAAGCCCTGGCTTTGTGTGCCAACCATGGTGGCAGCAGTTCCTTGATGCCAGGAGACAGAATTGCTTTTGAGTAATTGATAACTAAACATCAGCCCGTGGTTTGGAAAGTGAGATTCATGTTAGGGCAATTGGGGGAGCAGTGCTTCTGTGGGGGCCCTGGGTTTTGGTGAGGTGAAGCCTGGATTCCGCACATGGTCGCTCCTGCTCCCAATATCTGGATTCATCTGGTGCGGCACTAAACATTTCACAAGCATTTATAGTTCACAACAGCTCAAGGTGCTTTTGGAACTACAGAGACAAGGTGCTTATCCGAGGCCATAGCTGGGTTGTCAGAACAGAATTAGCAACCATGTGTGTCTGGCCCTTGGTACATACACATGTAACTTCATGCACACACTTCACAGTGCATACACCATGAATCACGTAGAGAGCCCTGCCTAACCCACCTCAAGGTGAGGATCTGTTGTGGAGCCCCTGCTCCCTCTCCTTACTTCAGTGCACTGCACATCCTCTAGGGCTCTAGGTGTTAGAGTCTGTCTTAGGTATACACCTAAGACACCTTAGGAGGCTAGGCAGCTGCCAGGATGGATACCTGAGGTCCTGCCAGCCTGACTCGGAGCCTGTTCCAAAGGTAGAGGCAGAGGCTTAGGGTCTGAGCCTTTCCCTCCACGTCTGCCCAGAATGGACCAGTCCAGTCACACACTTCCCTTGGGTGTCATTGCCTTGTCTGAGACTCCAGAGGGTGGGGCTCCAGGCTTTATTTAGGTGGGAAGGTTTATTGATTCAGTTGTTCATGCATTGATTGCTATAAAGAAATGGTTTATGGTGATTGCAGGGAAAAATGAAGTTCTGTGGACTGTGTGTGCATAGTAGCTGTTGGTGTGCATGTATGCCTCCCTCTCTGCAGTGAGGTGTCTTTTTCCCTGAGTTCAGATACGCAGTGATACATGTGTGCGCATCCTAATCACATGCCATTCTATATATGAGGTTCTGTGTTTTGTTTTTTTTCCATGTTAATGTATTATGAACATCTTTGATGTCAGTATATATGTGTGTGTGTGTGTATGTATATAAATAAATAAATAAATCTAACATTCTTTTTGATGACTTGCAAGTGGGTATTTATATGGTAATGGCAGTGTTTATAGCAGCTCCAAGTTGACACCACACAATTATTATAAATATATTTTGTAAACTACTGCAAGTATTTCTTTCCACTGGCTAAATTCCAAAATGCTGAAGCTGGGTCAGCAGACATCTGGGTTTAAAATGTCTTTGTTTATGGTGAAGTTGTTCCAGAAGTGTTGTCTAACTGAACTTAATCGCAGTTTGTGAGGGGCCATAGTTTCCTACATTTGTGTCAGTCTGGCTTGGCTCAGCCTGTCTCACTTGTGATAACACACTGGAGGAAATCGCTCCATTCATTTTGCTGTTTAAATGGGGCAGACACAGACATAATCAGATTTTGTTCATGCCGCCAGGCCTTTGAAGGACAGTGTTGTCATTACATTGTTGGTCAAAGCAGTCCCTATGTGGATCTTGGTTCTGCATTATCCATTTATGCACAGGAGTATTTGCATGTTGTATACATGTGACCTGGACTTATTAACTAACTTAGGGGAGCTTTTACTCTGTCTGCTTGGTTTCTGGGAAAAGTCAAAATTTCTATTGTAGTTGTAAATTGTTATGTCCCTTTAACATTAATAACCATTATTTTCTCTGTAACTCTCAGTGCCCCCGTGACTGTCCCCCATGTTCTTTGGTTGACTGGATTTCTTATCAGTGTACAATGTCTTACTCTTCATTTAATGTTTATTTGCCCAAGTTTATTTATCTGTCAGCAGAAGTCCTTGTGTGTGGCTTCTTTTGGCTGATGGATAGCTCCCTATCTGCTTCCTTTTGACTTTTCCCAGCCGTCTTCTTAGCGAGGCTTTGCGTTTCATGTGGGGACTTCTACCCATCGGCACTTTCGTGTTCCTTTCCCTTGTGGTGTTGGTGTTGGGGGTCAAACTCGGAGCCTCTTGCATGCCAAGCAAGAGCCTGACCACCGAGCTTATCCCCGGCCCCACTGTTGATCTTTACCCTTGGCCCTCTGGGTGGCTCTGCCCCTTGTGTACCAGGCTGTGTCTGCCTTTGGGTCCACATTGCCCACCAGAGTGATCCGTTGGCTCTGTGGTTTCCAGTTAGGCTTCCAGTCAGGCATCGCTGTAAATTCTTTCACAGTTTATGTTTTGAATTTAGTGGATTTGGGGAAGAGAATTAATACACAGTTATTTAACTGATTTTTTTTTTTTTTTTTTGTACTATCAGGGATCAGGCCCAGAGCTTTGTATAGGCAAACTACAGACTCTTCCACAGAATTCCCCATTCCTCACTTCGCTGTTTTGACCAGGAACCTGGTGGCTGTGTGGGCAGAGCTGGGGACCAGGAGAGTCCTATGGCATTTTGCTGTCACTCTGCCTCTCAGCCACCAGCTCCCACCATGTGCCTGCCTTCTTTACTCTGTGGTCTTCAGTGTCCACTCTCTGGCTGGCCCTGGTCCCCTGCTCTGGCCTGCCTGGCTCACTCTTGCCCATCCGTCTGCCTGGCACAGGTCCCGCCTGTTCCTGTGTGGCCTGTGTTGGTGGCAAGTCAGGCCCTGGTGGAGCCCTGTGGCCGTTGGGTCCTCTCTTTCATTGGCAGGGCAGCTTGGCTTTGGCCTGGTGATAAAGTGGCCTTTTTATTTGCTGTGTATAACTCCTCTCTCCCCTGTTTTCCTTTAAACTCCCTGTGGTGCTGGGTGAGGCCTGTGTTATGATTTTATTGCTGTTCTTTCTGGACTTTGCCAGAGCCAGGCCTTAGCTCTCTGACGTAAACGCTGCTTAGCTGTTGGGATTTATTGCTCTAAGTAACTGTTTCCAGTGCTGCGAGCAGCTTGAGGAAAGGACTCAGGCTGGTTCAGCCTGGGAAGACTCCTTGGAAAGAGTTCTGAAGGGAGATTTGGGTTGTACCCACCGTACAGCTCTCACTTGGGATGTGCCCAGGCAGGCCACGGTGAACACCACACTCAGACCTCTGCCTGTGAGGCAGGTCTGTGCTAGAGGACTGGTGTACTACTGGTCTGTGAACAGGAGGTCATGTCTTTCTTTCCGTCCTTTTATTTCCTTCCAGTAGCTGCTGTTGTCTCTCCTTGGGGCTGAAGTGTACCTAATGCTGCTAATGGACTGCCTACCAGGAGACCGATGTCGTCACCTGATTACCTGCTTAACACTGACGTTGTCACCGGATTACCCACTTAACACTGCCTCTTCCCTGTGATGCAGATGCAAGTCCCCCTTAGAGAATGTGGGTGGCTAGGAGTCTGTGGTTACCCAGCTGATGGTCCCAGATAGGGAGCTGGTCAGGCAGAGCCAGGATCATGCCTTCTGTTTCCTTTCTCCCTGGGTCACACCAAGAAGTGTGGCTAGTGTCTGGTTACAAATAAAGCAACCATTTTGAGGGAAGCATGTGTAATCCAAGGTCAGAGTTTCAATTTCAGCCATTCTCTGGTTTATTAATACTCTGAGTCTGAAGCCGCACATGGGCACAGCTGGAGACTGTGCCAGTGTAGCACAGTGACTCAGGGGTCCAGAGTGGTGGGTCCTGCCAACTATTGTCACAGGTTGCCCTGTGGGCCTACTCCCAGAAGGCCTCGGCCTGGGTAGTGCTGAGGCCCCGAGTGCCTTCAGTCACTGTGCTCTGTTCTTCATTGTCTTTTTTCATTTTTTGTTTTTCTGAGACAGGGTCTCCCTGTAGCCCCAGGTGGCCTGGAACTCACTATGTAGACCAGGCTGGCCTCAGTCTTACAGAGACCCACCTGCCTCTGCCTCCCGAGTGCTGGGATTACAGGCGAGAGCTGCCCTGTCTGGCTATAGGCTTCACTTTTATCATCTTGAGCCTTATCTATTTCCACTGGTTGGCTGCCAAGATTATTATATGGTAATGCAGAAATTGCATCATAAAGGAACATTTTTATAGCTTTTAAATCATGATCTGCAGTGGTGGTGTGTTTTAGAGATACCACACAGTTTAAGGGGAGAAAATGAATTTTCTGGAACTGTGATGAATACAGGTGTGGATGCTGATCCAGTGGTAACAGTTGAGTTGTAGACTAAGTGAGGCCTGGGTGTAAGAGGCCACTATAGACAAGAGCTCGTAAGACTATGGCCAAGGCCAGTAGGTCTGCCATGTGTACAGGCAGCAAGGGGTAGCCAGTCAACAGAGGGCCTGGCAACTTCAGCAAGGAGGTAGCCTCCTGCAGCACAGTCAGCTAGAGAGGAGGCCCTTCATGCCGTCCTGGGAAGGGCATAGGGGCACTGGGAGTCAGGCACCCAAGGGTCTGGGCGGTGAGGCGCGAGACCAAGCCAGGGTCATGGACAGGCGACTGTGACTTCCAGCAGCACACCACCAGGTGCTCTGGTGAAGGACATGAGATGCCTCGGGCAGTGGCCCGGGCTTGGGTGGGAGTGTGATCCTGGGAGAGCTCCGGCCTGCCTTCTGAAGGAAAGGGTTCCAGAATGCTCCATGTCCTTCCTGCTGCCGCCTGCCCAGAGCCTGGCACCCGCAGCCACTGCCCCGGTTCCATGTGCAGCAGTTGTCACCACCTGGTTTCTCCCGCTGTCGCTGTCAGGGTCTTGGTCAAGATTTGTTCTGGAGACCACGTAGACAGAAGAACTTTTATCAACCTTTTTTTTTCAATTCTCAAATTGTGTTTTGTCTTTTAAAAATCACGAATCCTCTGTCGTTATGAAGAGCTCAGAATATTCACTGTCAATGGTGCATTGATGGTTT